AAAATATAATTAATGTGCACAAATAAGGAATAGTTATATTACCATACATGTAAACAGAGTTTAATGGGGCCCCCAGGAACTTGGGAAAATGGAGATTGATTAATTTCACTCAGTCGGCACTTTATTTTTATCTTTGCGAAGAGAAAACGGTTCATCATACGGCTTTTAATGCACGGTAATCAGCCCTGTTCTGCCTGAGCAGCGTTCGTTCCTCCTGACTTACTTAGTAAAAACAAATTACAGATACTTTGGTTAAACAGTAACATGTTATGAATAAACCTTGAGAAAGAATCTGTTTGGTGGAGAAGCTATGTCTGGTCTACTAACTGGACTACAAACACAGGTTAAACGTGAGTGTGCTTCACCTGTAGCCCTTTCAGGAAACATGAGAATTTATTTATCCAGGCAGAGCGGCTGTTTTGTCTCTGCAAGCAGAAGCTTATCTTAAACCAGAAAAATGAGAGTATTGGCTTTTTCTCCTTATATTCCTACTACAAGATTATCCACTGATAGACATTCACATCTAGGACTCTCCTTGGCCATAGAAATTTCAACTAAACTAATAGGAACTATTTTAAGACGATGCTAAACTGGAATAATATTTTGCAACATTTAAATTTTAAAATATATTTTAAAGGACAGAGCACTTTATCTGCAAAATCATGTTACAAATTCATAAAGATCAAACCATCAGTTGCATTCGTGGGAAACACTCTGTCCTCATTTTACTGTTACCCTAACATGAGGACCAATGTTCAAATCTGACACTTTCTTTGACCTTTTGTTATAAAGCGCAATGCTTTAACATTGCGGTACTAAAATGCATTGGAGCAAAGCGTATTTTAGGATCATTACGATGCTGCTTGTGTTTGTGCAGCCATAAAGTACATAAAGCAGGGCAGAAAGGCCCGCTAAGAGCATGCATGAATATTCATTCTGTTCATGTTTGAGAGCAGAACATGGTTATGATCAAATGCCAACAACCAGTTGAAGTGTTGCTACTTGCAAAGATTTGTGGTCCATATTATCTGTTTTAGTGGGCCATTATGTCTGCTTAATATCACACTGTAAATCAGGAAGGTAATTTTCCACTGGTGAGTGGGCAGGACAGGTAGGGTTGCATCACAGTGCTGTGGGAGTGAAGGGTGTGTAAAGAGAAAGGCTGTGGAGGAGAGGCAAGGACAAGATTAAAAACCTTCTCTACACTGACAATTAAAAGAAAAGGCCATGCAACAGCAAAAAGAGACACACATTTCCCCTCAGGGGCAAAACGGAGCCAAAGAATCACCAGAATATAGACTCAGTTTCTGCTTTAAACAGATGCTCATAGTTATAGAGACAAACATCGGGCAAATGCATGTTTTGAGTATTTAGCCTTTTGTCATGAAGTGCTAATGAACCTTATTGAGCATCAATGCAGTATTCATAGAGGATATTC